ATGTCACTATCAAATGTCATGTGCAAGATTGCAACAAGCAAAAGTCTACACAGGTGTACCGGGCACATATTAGCTGTGTACCTCAACATGTTGGCGGCTCTCATAATTGCCGCCCAAGAAGTAACTGGAGCTAGGCTTTAATAGTTGTTTGGTACTTTTCTCATTCTTGTACTTATACAACAGGTACCATCCCCTTAAATCGGTGACTCTGTTATTGGCAGCACTTCATATATACTTCATATATCCTATATAACTATTTGATTTTAATTCAGTTTCTTTTTCTCTACAGATTTCTGATGAAACTCAGTCATGAAACAGTGACAATTGAACTTAAAAATGGCACACAAGTCCAAGGCACCATTACAGGTAAGTGTTTTATTTCATATTGTATTATGCAGTTTGCCTACAATGGATAGGTTTCTCTGATGTAGTTAGTGATCATTCTTCCAGTTGATTTGACAGAATCATTTTTATCTTTTACTATTTTTTATCTGGCAATACCCAGTACAAAGCATCGATATGATTATGTATGTCTCTGTTACAGGTGTGGATGTAGCCATGAACACACACCTCAAAAGTGTGAAAATGACTCTAAAGAACCATGAACCTGTCAGCTATGACACACTTACTATCAGAGGAAACAACATTCGTTACTTCATTTTGCCTGAGTCTTTGCCTCTTGAAAACTTGCTCATTGATGATGGGCCCAGAGCCAGAAGGGGCAGATCAGAACGTGGACGTGGTAAGTGTTTCTGGTAGCTAGTAAAAACGTATGTCCAATTTCTATTTTATTTTAATCTGTTATTTCTTTTTCTTTGGTGACTGTGAAAGAGAAATGGACATCCACTTTGTATTTTCATTTTATTTTTAAGAAATACCTTTTCTAAGTTCAACGTCTGGTGAGATATAGAATGTTTTTACTTAATGCTGTGCTACCCCCTCTTTATAGATTTTCATCTTTCCTTTAGCAAAATTATTCAAAAATATATATTTTCTTCTTTATTACTATTTTCTTTTTTTCTTTTAAAATTATATCCTATTTTTCATTTCTGTACCTTTTCCTCAGCCTTAGGCCAAGACTTCTGAGATTAATTGCTTTAGTTACTTTTCTGCACTCAGTTCTATCACATGCAACCTCAAACTACATTTTCTGATCATTTCTCATAATCTGTCCTTCTTAGCTTGCTCCTTCTCCTGCTTCCTTCCACCTCCATTTTCATTGCAGTTTTTGTTAATACCTGATTTTCCTTACTTATATGTTCAAACCACCATAGCCTTGTTTTCTGCATCTTATTTACCATATTCACTATCCCATATTTTCCAATTTCTTCAATTATGATGCTATCTTTCAATGAAATCTGCAGTGACCATCTCAACATCCTCTTTTCTGTTCTAATCAGTTTTTCTTCCCTTTCCTTCACTGCCCAGCATTGAGCTCCTTAAAATAACAGTTTTATCACTGAAAGAATAGTATTGTTCATATGTTTTTTGTGGTTTAGAGTGTTAATACGATACATTTAATATTTTTTAAGGACCAGGAGGTCGTGGACGAGGACGTGGTGGACGTGGACGTGGTCGAGGAGGACCCCGTGGCAGAGGCCGAGGAGGACCACGCCGTTAGATACCTTGATAAATTTTTTGAATGTGTGTTATTTGTACAAAATATTCTGAACTGAATAATTAATTTTATTTACCGTTTAGCCAAAGTGGATGATTTGTTTATTTATGGAGTCCTACAGTATGCAGCCTTCCCTGCAGAATAAATTTGAATTGTCTGTATGGAAAAGTGATGCAAGTAATTTTCTAGGTTTGTTATCATTTTGTTTTTCTTTTCTTTTCTTTTATGGGAAGTCGACCAGCTAAAATATATTATTTTTTAAAAAAGTCAAAGAAGTTGTGTTGCAAGAAAGAGAATTATACATACTGGATATTAAAGTAAGTTTATTTTTGTTCTGATCAGCCCAGTCTTTATAGATATATTTCTGCTCAAAAGAAGGGGAGCAGACAATATATCCTTCCATACCTAAGTTTCATTAACATTAAGAAATTTGGTATGCTTCATTAATGTAATTGTATTTCTTAAGAGTAAATAGTTATAAGGTTTTCTATACCCAAATTGTTTTATTCAACCATATTTTTAAAAACTTAATTGCAGTATATTTCAGTGAGATAAAAAAAGAAAAAAAAATCAGCATGAGTAATCTTTTAAATATATTTGGGTTGTTGTAAAGAAGTTGATGATTCAAGTGCCACAAGAAAAATATATCACTCTCAGTAATGGTATAATATAGTATTCTTCTTCCACTGAACCTGGGCCCAGGATACACCTGTTGGTCCCTGCAAATTTTGTTTGATAGAATGTTATTTCACATTTTGATCTCTGTCCTGAATGTGGTGTATCATGGGATTGGAAATTGGATTTGGGCAAATTTAAGCTTAAGTATTGCAGAGTTGATTACTGTGAGAATGATCATAGTGTAAGCAAATCTGAGGGGGAAAAAATAATTTCTTTTTAATATAATTAATATACATAATATCAAGGAAGAGTAACCTTAAGTAATCTGAAATGAAGAGGATGTAACATGAATGCTCTTTTCAACAAGTTATTTAAATAATTTATTGGTTATTATTTGCACATTGATTGGTAAAATCATTCTTCTACAAATATTAATGGAAAAAGGAATAAAACGAAAACAAGAATTAACCTGGAAATATTTTGAATTGATCTTAACTCATTACCGCTACAGATGGCAAAGATTAATGCTATCAATTTGGCTTCTGTTATTGTCACTAGACATCTAAATTATTATAAAGCTATTGGCATTACTAGTAGCAATATAAGAGAAAAGAAAATATTTCCGAAAGTCAAGGAAGAAGGTAAACGGGTGAGATAGATAGTACTAATAATTGGTTCATTTGTGACTTCGTACATGTGCAGCCATCTATGTGTAAATCAATTAATCACATTGTTTATGGCATGTATTTACAAGCCATCCCCAGTGGTTTTGGGTTTATTAAGTAAAGTGTGACTAGTACAAAAAAATAAGTTTGATATTAATGAGGTATCCATACAAAGTTCATATATGTTTTTGTGTTAAGGTAAAGAATTTCAGTTACATTAAAAAAAAAAAATCTGAAGAAAATAGGTTAATAAATGGAGTTTTTTTTTATAGTGAGTTTTAATATATTAATTGAATTTACACATACATGGCCCCACAAATGTTTAGTTACCAATGAGTCCATATCTAGTCTGACTTATCTCACCTAGTTATCCTTTTCCTTACTTTTCAAAATTATTTTATTTTACATTGCTCTTGTTATTGTTAATAAGACTTAAATGATTGCATCAAAAAAAAAAAAAAAAAAAAAAAAAAAAAAAATGATATTAATCGTATAAGAATTTTTTCTCCCAAACTTAAAGAGGGGAAAATCAATATTTGTAAAGATTCTTTTTGTTTCATTTTTTTTAGTGCTCATAGTATTTTGATATAAATATGAATGAAGATGATAATCATGATCATGAAAATGATAAAAAAAAAAATATTAACAACAATAATAAGAATATTGATAGTAAGAATAATAATAATGAAAGAAAATTAATGGTAACAATGAAAAAAAATATATAAAAAGTAGTAGTAGTAGTAGTAATAGTAACAATATCAATATTGTTAGAAGACTTTTTCCTGAAAACTCAGGAAATGGGGAAATGAGAAGGTCACATCTGGCCTACTAATTGACTTGGAATCTGAGCACTTGGGGGTAAGCGTTCATGAGCACTTGGTGGAGCCATCTGGTGTGCAGCTGAATATTTTGAAGCAAGCATATAGAAGGAAAGGTACAGGTAAACAAATAGATGTATGTGACGCCACTGAGATAAGCGAAGGCATGATATGGTCCTTAACCGTATGAACTGGTAACTCTGTAAATAGTTAGAATCTAGAGCGAAAAATGGGAAGGTAAAGAAGTTTATTATATGACAATGAGGTTTTTTCACAACGTTTTTTTTAAAGATCCTGGTAATATGGATAAAACATTGTGGGATTGCGGATGAGCTTTTAAAAGATTGAAGTGAGCATTAGACAGGAGATATTCCTTGTAAGATAAAAGGATGGTGTGTGGCTGATTCAGAGGGTTGGGGGAGGGGATAGGGGGCTCGTGGACTGTGTCCGAACAATAAGCGAGAATTTGGAAAGGCAAGCTTACTGTACAATAAAACATAGAGAATTGTGAAATACAGGGAGTGGACCGAGCAGATGTAAAAAAGAATTTTGGCCCCTATCCTGAGAATATTTTGGGAGGAAGTTTTCTGTTTGGAAGGTCGGATCAAGGCGCATCCTTTAGTTAAGGAGGGATAGGGATAGCTTGGTTTGAAGAGTTTAGGAAGTTGGGCCGGGGGTAGAATGCTAGCTAGGGGGGGGATCAGCGAAATAAAGTTGTGTGTGTAGCAGAGGCGGAATCGAAAAAAACGAAAGAGACAAAAAAAAAAAAAAGAAGACAAAAATAAACAAAAATAGGGAAAAATTAAAAAATACTAGTAGAAAACGATGAGTCAAACAGCTGAGTTGCAAGTGAAATAACAGGGAAGTAAGAGACTATTCCAGAGAGAGAAAGAAGCGGGACAGCACGCGTTAGTAGGGTACCTGTCAGATTGAGAGGGAATTTAAAAGACTGTTTTTGTGCTGTTGTTTTAGGCTGTAAAGGGAGGAGTATGGAAAAATCCGCCGCAGTTGCTTGTCCCAGTGAAGCTTGTTCTACTGTTGGGGTGTTGTCTCTCTATATCAGTTCGGGGCGCCGTACCGCACTGAAGTACTGGAAGATTTTTCTAGGCGATAGATTGTTCTGTCTGCTCCGGTGTAAAAGATGGTAGATAGATTTTCAGAGGAATTGGATTTGGAGTAGAAATTGTCCAATAGTAGATAGGTTTTCTATGCAAGTACACCAATGCATTGAGAATATCAAGAGGGTACGGAAGGTATGAGAAGTATGTTTTTTTTGGTGTGTTTTTTTTGTTTTTTTTTTATTTTTTGCCATTATTTTCAAATGTTTGGTATAATATAACTTTAAGGAGAGTAAAGATAGGTGAGAAATTTAAGCATATAGTATAGCCAGAAGATACCTCCTTAAAAAAATGCCTACTCGACTGTTGAATTGGCATGAGCAGTAAAAAAAAAAGTGTGTGCGGTTTCAGGCCTCTAAATAACTAATTGTTTCGATAAGAATTGTGAATAATGTGAATGATATAGGGGCAAATGTACATGGTCATATTTTGTAATTAAATTGAAACAATAATCAAAATATATAATAATAATGCAACTTAACTCATGTACCTATTCTACCAATGGCCAAAGCGTTCCAGGTATTTCATCGTAGAGAAGCCATTCTTAACGTGCACAGTCTTTGCCGATCTCGTGGGATACATAATGCAATGACTATATTTCTCTTTCGTAATGACATATAACCTTCTACTTATTACGTCCCTTACATAAGTTACTGGCCTAATTAAGCGAGACGCATTAGAAATTGTTGTAATTGATTGCTAAGGGAAGTAAATAACTTTGTAAACTGTGTCGCGCTATTGCATATCTTCACGGGTAGATATTCATAAGCATAAACATAGATATAGACACAGGCATACACACAGACACAGAAACAGATAAATGGGTATGGTTGTACTTGATCAAACATCATTGATGGCATACACTCATGGATATAATGAGTATCATGTTGCCCCTCCCGCAGAACAGCTGATTGTGGGCCGGCACTGTGCCAAACACCGCAGTTCAGGCCAGAAATAGATACACATGTTGCTCTGTTTACCTGTCGCAACTGCAAATTTGAACGCTACTTATATCATTCTTGTTTTTGTTCAAAGGCAGTAACTGACATATAAAAGTGTACTTGCTATCACGATATTAAGAATAGTCTTCATCATCATAATTTTATTAATATTGAAACTGCTAATAATATAATCATTATTTAACGTGGCTCCTACACGCAAAAATGTTCCACACATTACAAAATAGTATTATTACGATATCGTTAATGACTCAATGAATTAGTCCAGTATAATCAATAAAATTCGTATCTTTAATGACCTAAAATTGTCATCATAATTTTGTTAATATCGGGACTACTAATGCTATAATCATTATTTAACGTTGCCGCTGCGCGCAAAATGTCCACTCTACAAAATGCGGTATGAGCACGATAGTATCCAAATATTTTTTGCAACTATCATGACACTCGTTCGGAATATTGGTAATGACTTCCAATGTAGTGGTCCATTGTAATTAATAGTATTAATTTCATCAGTATCGCAATCAGTTACATGAATAGCAAGACCTACATATATAATGCAAAGTAATACCGTTTTCTCCAAACTAACAAAAACCTGTCATTGATTGGTAAGTAATTGTCAGGTATATCGAAAATATTTGAAATAAATCAACATCTGTATGATTATGCTACTTTGTAGTCGGCCAACTGTCAATCTGGCAATAAAATACGAGTAATTGAATGCTCATTTTAATAATAATAAATTACGTCAACTCATTCAACAGTCCTTTGTTTAACAATATATGTTTACATGATTTGGAAATAAGGCCTGTGAATGTGGTATTTTAGAGTAACAAAGAATGAGACATTTTCTTGTTTTAACATAAGTCCAAAATAAATGATTCTAGAAATATCGCATGACTTCCGTATCATGCCTTATTATAAATGTATCCCATAAATAAGCCCAGTAATTGCCATATCCTCACAAAGTAAATATTTTTTCCTTTTAAAAATAATAATACGTCATGAGAAGCGAAATGACGAAGTATTGAACCTAAGTCCAAGGTTCAGTGTCAAAAAAGTTACTGCGCAGTGTTGTATTCACCAAAACAGTGAATCGAGCTCGAAACATAGTCCTCTGGTCGGTGCCTTTTTGCTTCTCAAACGCTATTCGTGCTGTGAAATTACTGTCATACCCTGGAAGTGTGTACCCAAAACCTTCAGCTACGTCTCCAGCTGACCGTTGTCATGGAATAAGGTATGTAGAAGTCGTGCTGATGAATTATTTGCTCGTGCCTTTGTTTTTGACGAGTTGTTTTGGCACGTGAAGGTTTA